TCTCTCTCTCTCTCTCTCTCTCTGTCTTGGTGACATGAACTTTACTTGCTTTTGTTTGATCAACATATTAAAAATGTTCAACATATTCAAAATTTATGGCTATCCTTACTCCTTGCCAACATCTCTTCCAATAAATGTTTGTTTGTGAACATTATCAGAGGCAATTCTTTTATTCTCTGTGATAGAAATCATGTAATTTTGTATGTTTCATACTCTTGATATTAAACTTTCAAATGAAATGGAACTGTGGAAGAATTATTTTTAGAAGACCCTTAAATATCAATAAATTATGAGAATATAACCAATGTGAACAATACACTACCTATACTATATTTGATGCAAGAATTAGCTATTATGAAATAATCCCTATTAAGAGAAATTGGAGAATAATAATTGGAGAATAAATAAATAAAAGCTATAAGAATTTATATTGATTGTTTTCAGAACATCATAAAATTTTTAATATATATCTACAAAGATTAGGACATGCCTTTGGTGTATGAAATCAGGAACATTGTACAACTAAATTCAGAATGTCTTATGACATTCTTAAGGTCTTACCCTAGTTACAGAAACAATACCCCATTAGGTATGTGCGCCCCTGTTGCTGGGGAGTTATTCTTTGTGTTTGCGGAAGCCATATCTTGGGGCTGTTCAGGCACGTATATGGAAGCCATTTCTCAAGCTCTAACTGTCGGGTACATGGAAAATCACAAGATCAGAATCACAAGACTGTTTCCTCATATGTTTGAGGCTCTGTGGCAAGCATTCCCTAGGGCTCAGCAGCCCATTGGAGAGACTCAGCCTGGTGCAGTGAGTTCTAGAGTGCTCAGATGGAAGGAACAAGCCATAGGAATCAAGGAATTGATGGTAGGCTCCTTTGGTTGCATATCCATGCCTAATGACAGACACCTGGGAGTGCACAGCAGGTGGGGATCAGGCTGATTCTCAAGGCAACACTAATTAAAGAAAAGTCCAAACTCCTGTGTAAGAGTGAGGCATTGGCTATCTACAGGCACAGCATCACAAGGCAGAGATCTGCACCCTAAAATTAAGGTTTGAAGGGAACACAAATAAGCTGCATTTGATCCTCAAGCCTGAGCCCCTAAGCTAGATTCCATAAATCTTCCTAACAAAGGTAGGATTGGTTTTAGAACCTGGAAGAGCTGAATTATCTGGTACAGATAAGAAAGCTCCATCTCAGAGTGGAAAGATTCAGGAACAGGAAGGGAGGAAGGTCTCTGAAACAATGAAATCTGAGCAACTCTGTCCCATATTTATGTTACAATGCTCATGGTTTTATTCCTGTTTTGGACACACCATGATTTCTGTTCTTATTTCTCAACTTTAATTTGTTCATTTACCAATTCACTTCCAGACTGTGACTGTCTACTGCCTTTCAGGCCCAGAGATGTACATGTAAAAAAGACTTTTCTGATTTTGAGTTGCTTACAGTTTAGTGAAAGAGACGATAAAGATGGATAAGTGCAACATATAGCTTCATATGATAGAAAACCTTGGCTTTGGAGTTGCATCTGTGTTAGAATCCTAGATCATTCACTTACTAGGTGTATAACTTTGAACAAGTGACTCAATTTCTAAGCTTTGGGGATAATCACATGCCAACAAGCTGAGAGGTAGAGGTAGTCAAAAGGTATAAAAGTAAAAAGGTATAAAATAAATATAAAAGTCCGGCATATACTAGAAATGTATTATAGCAGTTACTATTCTATAATTTTGACAGCAGGCTACTGTGTCAGAATCTAACAACTAACTCTGCTTTTGGCGCACCGGGAAAGGTTTTTAGTGTGGCAATATTTCATTGGAACACGAAAGATAAATAAGAGTTTACCAAGATGAAGAGTATAAGAAATAAAATTCTTGGGAAAAATGAACAATAAGAAAGCCAGGAAATATTATTTAAATTTCAAATAGCAACAAATTACTTGAGTTGCTGTAGGAGAACTCCTGCAAGAAAAAGCATTAAGTGATAAGAGGACTGAAAAGGAAATTGGGGACAAAAGACTCAGGGCTCAATTAAGAAAAAGAAGCAATAAAAGAAGCTAAGAAGAAATAGGTCTAGAGGGCCGAGAAGGATCAAGAGAGTATTGTTCCAAATGCCAAAGAAGGACTCTTACAGTCCTACATCAAAAAATGAAGATTTAAAAAGGCATTGTGTTTGCTTTGACAATTGAATAATAATATCAACTGGAGCAGATCATTTGTAGGAACAGCAAGTGCTCTCAATTTCTCTAACTTGCAAGTTGTGAAGTTGTCTTACAAGTAAATCCTGACCGCAGTTAAGTTTTTTTCCTACATTTTCACAAATGTTTTCCGACTACGCTTAATATTCTGCTTATTCATTTTCCTGTCTTTCTTTTGTGGAATTATTTATGATCTCATTATTTTAAATTCCAAATTAATTATTGTAAGTAGGGGCAAGTATCTGACAACACTAAATCTTGAACTGTAGGCAGTGCATGAGCACTTAGTCATGTTTTCCTTTTATTTATGCTATATCTTACTCTCTGTATGTTAATATATTGACTTTTATTTACCCTACATATATAACCATGTTTAAATAAGTATTTTTAAATGTGACAATACAAACACACATACACAAAAACATATATATAAAACCATGTTTTTTTCTAAATATATGTGTATACAAATTATACCACACTTTATTTTAGGATTGTAAAACAGCTGCTTAAATATTATTTTATGAAACAAAGGTGTTGTAAAAATCAAAAGCAAGTTTACATATATATGTGTGTGTGTGTGTGTGTGTGTGTGTGTATTCAATATATTATGGAACAAAGTAAACAGTTCCATTATAAAGGGAGAAATTATTCATTTTCATGTAATTTCAAACTTTAAAAATTATATGGATAGAACCACAAATTCATAGGTACTCTTTCCCATAATCACCATTTAAAAAATATTTGCTCCATTTTCTTCAATATTCTCTTTGTACCTACCTCTCTTTTTCAACTTTTATATATATGAAAAATGCTTGAGACCATGAAATTATTCCCCTCTATTATTAATTACTTGCATGTGAATTTCCTAAGATATGACACTAAAAATAAGCACAATAAAGTTATTTAAATAACTTATTTAAATAAAATTATAAGATAAGGAAATGAAACAATAATACAGTAGTATTATATAAACCACCAATACATATTCAAATTTTTTCCATTGTAACAATAATGTCTTATATGGCCTTTTTTGTTTTCTGTGACATGATCAAATTCAACATCATGTACTCTATCTTTTTTGTGTCTAATCTGAAATAATTTCTCTCCTTTCTTTATTTTACCAGACCACAGCATTTTTGAATAATACATTCCATAATGTTGTTCAGATTTATTTCTTCTGATGTTTGATGATGATAAAATGAGGTTGAACTTTTTGAGAAAACAAACTGAAGTTATATGTTTTTAATGATAATAATAGGAGAAATGTCAGGTTGGTATAAACAGCAATATTCATGGTGTTAGCTTTCAAATGTTGGTTAATGTGGTGTGTGCCAGAGTTTTACATGGTAAATTTTATTACTAAGAAATTAATAATTTGGGGAAATATACTTTAAAATGTGTAAAGAAGATCCTCTCCGTTCAAACTTCTTTTCCAATCATTTCTTCTATACTTACTTCATGATATTCCAGTCCAAATAGGTATTTCCCTTCTTATTCATTTATTCCTTCATGCATTCTCATCAGTTGTGACTGGAACTTTCCTCTCTATGGAACACAAATCCAGCAAATCATCTACTTTTGTATGAT